AAGGCGTCTTCGCGTTCGGAATGGAAAAAAAGAAAAAAGCGAAAAGTTGATAAGATAAAGGGTACACCGACTTTTCCCTCATCGAAGGGGGAAAAGCATATCATCCGTCCGATGTGGCTCTAGCTCAGACTTCCACGAGAGCCACGCGAGATCTTCTTTTGAGACGCTATTGGATGAGGCTGTGCCAGCTCGGACGCTTACTCCCTGCCATTCCTCCGATTAGGATTCCACGTGGACGGAGCGCCGACAGTTCAGCCTGTGGGCCCTCGTATATTAACGAAGGGGCTGCTTTGTAGCAGTGATTCGCAAAAGCGCATGATGTACCTACCATTATATTAAATGGGTTTTGGAATATACAGCGAAAACATTACGCTATCAATCTAATACGACTTGTGTTTATGTGCAGTAAGCAAAAATCACTAAAGCGTGTATATAATTTCATTTTCTCTGCTGTTGTTATGAAAGTGGAAACAAGAAGACTTAACTTTAATTTAATTTGTAGACACGTTAACACTTTGTTCAAGCAAATTAACTTCTTGCTTTTGTTCTTTTTCAAGCACAATATGACTAAATATATCACTTTCATGTCAGGGAGCATGAATATTTCACTTGACAATAATAGATTTGGATGGTTATACTACTCACAGAATATATATTAAATTTAGTATATGTAAATTATCTTCAAAATGTAACATTTGTTGCAATAATTAAATTGATTTCACTAGATGACATATGCATGACTTGTTAGTTTATTCATGTTTGGGTAATATTATTTTTTCAAATAGAAAGGAAATTATCTAGTATTACTTGATGTTTTTGTAATGAGAAATTTTGAAGTATGCGTCTAAAAACTTGTGTACAGAAAATTAGAATTAAGATCGTCATGTTTTAAAAATTATGTGGTTGGAATTCAATGAGAATATGTATTATTAAAGTACATGTTTTAAAAATGGAGATTGATCTATTACCATATCCTTAAAGATGAATTTAAGTTCGTTGGATAAAAACAAAATAATTTCTATCCATGTTAGTAACAAGATGCACAATGTCAACTCTTAAATACAATGAAACAACCATCAAAGCCATTGCAACATCATTTTGGAATGCATTATTAATTGTTAAATGCGATCAAGTAACAATATTAAATGTACCCATTCTTTGTTTGTTTTCATGCATTATCTAAAGTTCTTGTTACATATGTCAGAAATTGTAAATCTTTTATCTAATCCTTGCTCCCTCTCTCTCTATATATATATATATATGTCTGTTTTTTCACACAATATTGTGGTTTTTTCCTGTATGTAATTGGTTTTGTGTGTTTTTTTTTTTTTTTTTTTTTTTTTTTTTTTTTTCATCTTCTATGGTTTCTTTTTTTTTTTTACATATAAAATTTTAAAAATACATTTTCAGAAATTGAAAAGTCAGTGAGATATTCTTTATGGGTGTAAAAAATGTGGTTTCTACTATTATGTTTTGTTTATTATTTAACAAAACTAGTCATATCAATCATACAAACTCTATATTATTCATAAGAGTAATATACAGATTTATAGTACTACAAAGATGATTATATTTGCATTAGAATCCTTGTACAAGACCAAATCGTGTTCTTAAATATAAGTTCATAGTATATTTGCATATATATTTTTTAATATTTCAAAGTTTTTGACATGTTTCTGTATGTATGTGTATTCATGATTCTTGTTTTATTCTATTCTCTACCAATTTGTAAAACTTTATAAAAGACAGGATATAAACGATGTTGTAATATAGTATTGAATTAGGAGGATACTATTGCCTGTAATATTATTATTAAAAAAACACTTATTTGAATCAGTTTGTAACTACAAACCTGTTTGACTCATTGCCAATACTTCTCTCATTCACTTAGTGCTAAGAAGTTGGTGGTGGCACTATATTTTGCAATGTTATAACTTACCGTATCAGTAGAGTATAATTAGACTCCAAGTGTGCCAATGATGGGGATTTCAAGAGGGTGGACTCGGTCTGGTCCAAGTGAAGTAGGCGAGATTTGACTCTCCAACTTGTGAGATGCTCTACAAACATCCAATAATCTATTATTTTATGGAGGTACCCCTACATCATTTATTTTTGGCCTTTTCAAGACCCGTCCCCCTCTTCTCCACTGTAGACGTCTTAGTGATTTCAAAGTCTTACAGTGTTAGGTTAGGTCTTCAGACCTAGAACTGGGGAGCCACGATCGATTCTTTGCAAAGTGGTCGCAGTGAAGTATTCTTGAGGAGGGGTCAAAAACATGTTTTTGCTCACAATGCTTATCCTTGAAGTGTTGTGAACATTGTGGACCCACATGGGGAACATGGGTTGGGAACATTGGGAACTTATGCAGATTAAAGTTGGGTTTTGGTTTTTAGGGTTTGTGAGTGGGGGGTGTTCCCAAGAGGATTCGTTTGGTCCCTGAGTGCCAGTCTGGACCTGCGTGCTTTAGAGAGGATAAGGTTGTTAGTTATGCCAGATATAAGTTGTCAGTTTTTCTTTATCCTATTAATTCCATTTCTTTCCACAACTTCCATTCCTTCTTTTTCCTTTCCTCTTCTCTTTGTTCATTATATTAAGTCATTAATATTAAGTCGTCAATTATATCATTCCAATGGACATTGATTATGAAAGAATTCACTATACGAAATGATGATCATGAGTAGTATGCATGAGGCATCAACATTCAAGTAGGCATTGTGTGCATCTTACTCATTCCAACACACTCCCCTAAAACCACCTTCACTTAAGGTTTAGCAAACCCTTTTTATTGAGCTTAAAAAAGAACCTTTGTAATCCCATCATCACATGCCACAATTCCATACTCCCTAGTAATCCCCATAAAACTTCACACACTAACACACACACACTAACTAATGTAAACTTTTATTTACAATGTTGATAATTCATCACATTGTTAAACCCTAACCCTAATCATGTGCATCCTTTCCACAACCAACCACACCACTCATTTAACCACTACATGCACAAAAGAAACTACAAACGTCAAAACCCCCCCCAGGAAGAATGAATGTCGTCACAATGACGGACGATTTTCATCCAATTATGGCTTTGGTGAAGGCTCACAACAAGCAAAAGGCCGCCTTCTCGGCGTCGGCGCGACAGGCGGCGTTTGTCGCGCGCGTCGTAGCTGTAGGTCCGGCCCACGCCGTGAGACCGTCGCGACGCCACCTCGTGGATCCCGAGTGTGGACGAAGAAAGAAAGATGAAATTAGACGCAGATGAAGAAAAGAGGAAGAATTTGAGGTCGTCACCCACTCCACCCACCCCACTCCTACCCACCCGTTTGCATGCATTGTACAGAGCTGGAGAAGCGCGCGCCGGACACATGGCGCCCGCCGGACACTCCGACGCTGCTGTGATGGGTGTGACCTTCGCTGCGCCACCACGCCTCATCCCACCCCGATGCTTGCCTACACACCACGCCTCGTCCCACCCCCTCCAGCACCTCACCCCACTGCTAACGCTCCTGTCATTGCTGATGCTGGTGCTGCAGCAGCACCACCAGCACGATAGGCTGAATTGCCGACCGGAGCGTGAAAAGGAAACTTTAATTGGGGAGTCATGGATTTTTGACACTCGTGTGGGGTTTCGGCTATCCGGCTTGTGGCGATCGAGGAACAGCAAAAAAACATAAATTATGGTGGGTGGGTATCTGTGTTGAGGATTGTGAACGGTAGAGCCGCTGCGTAGCCTTCGAAGTTTGAGTGACTCGCGTGCTTTGCTGCCAACAGTTGTGGTGCGCCTGGCCGACGGAGTTGTCTGTTGTACAGCTCCTGGATTCTGCAGGACGCAGCCGGGCTGGCGAGGTAGGATTTCTCTTCTCGCACCGTTCTCTGAGATACGTCAGTGGGGCCGATCGGACGTCCGCGAGGGGTCACAGCGAGGGGTCAGACGATCCACGCCGAGAGTAAAAAGAATGCTGTAATGGAGCCCCATGAATTGGAGCAGTTGCAAATGACTCTCATGAGCCTGCGATTCTACTACTAGCCTACCCAATGTGAGATCCTGGTTGCGATCTACCGCTGAATCAGTCATTGTCACCGTCCAGAATTATGATGCAGCTGCACAGGTGAAGAGGCTCTCGGTAATCTCGGCGACGCGTCGATTACGATTGCAGAATCGGTGATTGAGCGATCAAAGAAGCCTAATTGGGCTGGAATCAATCTGGCAAATGATGAACAACTTTGACTTTGTGGCGCACTGCGGTAACTTCGACGAGGCGTTCACGGCAACTGCATTCTCACATACAGTCAAGAATTTCAACAATGTTGGGGTTAGTCGGGGGAAGTCCCAAACAGGAGGGGAAGAAAGAGAGAAGGTGGAGCATGTTGATCGAATCGAGGTGATAGCTTAAATTATATTTACAATCACTCATGTAATATGAATTTTGCGCTTATTCCTGCAAAATAATTATGAAGGGAAATACATATTTAAATACATCCAGTGGATCATGTGTGTGTACTGCAGCTCCTTATAATTCCAATTCATACTATACAAATTGGAATTATATGATTAAAGATAATATTAAACCACACAAGGATTCAAAAATAGAATAAAATAGAAATAAAATATCGATATAAATATATAAATATGTAATCCACCAGCGTTTCCTTGCAGATAAGAGCTTCGTCGGAGCAAGAGTCGGAGGGTCTCATCGCGACGTGATAAATGAGTGAGTTTATGGACTGTTTGTATCAGAGGCTACACAACGCAGAGCAGTAGCTGTGGTGTGAAAGTTGGGCCAGCTACAGTTTTTGGTTGTGCTTGAGGGCCAGAAATGCCAGTTAAAAAAAGGAAAGGGGATGCCGAATTTTTCCACGTTACTAGAGTCAAGAGTGAACTTGCTTGCTTTCACAAAGCAGGCGAGCGGGCCACCTGCCTATCTACCTACCATATAGGATTTGCTACAGACCAGGCTGGCGTTGGAGAAGCACGGAGGCAGCGCATCACTCGCGTATATTTAGATACTTCCTGGTCCGCTTCTTTTAGACATTTCCCGTCGCGGGCGCTGGAAGTGTGTCTTCTCAACGATTCTATCGTGCAGAGAATTGCGGGGGGAGGAATTTGTAGGTGATTTCTGGTGTGATCGAGGCGAGTCTCGTCGACGGATTGGTAGTCTCCAGCTCAGTGTAGTGGTGGTAGTAGAGGTAGCCGAAGGAGGAGATTTGTGAAGAGAGGTGGGTGATTAGGGTGTTGCTGGGAGGGGGAGGCAAGAGGAGGTGTAGTTGGTGCGGTGTTTGTGTTGCGGAGCCTGTGTTGCTACTGAGAATGTTTCTGGAAGTGCACAAGAAGTTGGGTAGTGGCGGGGGCATGGTGGGAGGGGTGGATAATCACAAGCGTGCTGCCCTCGACTTTGTCGCAGAGCTCACTGGTTCACCACGCGCTGGGAGTGATAAGAGGGCCTTGGAACAGAATGACTCGCTTGTGCACGCTGACGAGCTCCCCGTGCCCATGTTTGGGGTGGACATGAATATGCGTTGCACCTTTTGGAACAGGTGAGCTATTGGGTGTCTGAATTTTTCTTCTTCTTCCGTCGATTCAGTCGGGGGCTATGAAGGGGGTTCGAAGATAATCTGACACGTTGTGCGAGCGTATCATGTCATTTCTTGGTTTGACTTGTCCTTGGTGGAGAACTAGAAGGGTGGTCATTGAGGAAGTGTGTTGCCCCGAGCATGTGACACACGCCTGGCCTGCTTCTTGATCGTCTGCTAAGATCATCTTGACCGAGAGGATCCATGTGCTTCACTTCTAGTTGGACAGCTTCTGGGTCTCGTGTAGCTTGGAAGTGTATTCTAATGACGATTGTGTTTTCTCGTGGTCTTACAGACGTGCCATGGAGGCTACCGGCTGGACTGAGGCCGAAGTGTTTGCCTTGCCCAAGTTTACCGCCTCTTTATTCAGCAATCTCTCAATCTCGGACAGGCAAGTACACGGTCCAGAATTGCACCTCTTTGATTTCGACTTTCTCTTTCGTTTGCCGACAACTGTCTTGAAGAATGGCTTTCTGTCGCGTTAGCTCTGCCGTGCTCTAGTTTCACATCTCTGTGGTTTTGGGAAGCAGTGAAGTTACGGATTATTTCTAATAATTGAGATTCTTTGTTCTGCCAGGGATTGCGAAGATATTCTAAAGGCTGCTCTTGAGGGTCAAGACATAGCTCAGGAGGTTTGGACCTTGAAGACGAAGTGGGGCAAAAACGTGAAGGCAGTCCTCTCGGCTAATGCGCGCAGAGACGGTATGGGAGTCGTCTGTGTTATCATGCCGCTGAGCCCACCAAGCATTGAACAGCCTGCCTTGAAATTGGACTGCAATGTGAGTGTGATGGACCACATGAGCATCCTTGATTTGGAGGAGGAACAGCTGAACAGCTATGGTAGTCCTCGTGGAAGCGAAGATCCTTTCCTGGCAGCCCTGGAGCAACCGTTGTCACCGTACTTCGCTGAGGTGAGAGACGCCATTTACATGTATGGTGACCCCTCCAATGCCGTCTACGAAGCTGAAGGCTCCTCTGTGTGCTCTCAAGACTGGTGCAAGAGTGAGCAGAGCTCGGAGACCCTGCGTGGTGCTAGTAACAGCCTGGGACGCAGCAGTTTGACCCAAGCAAGAGCCATGGTCGTGGACACCAACGTTCGAGGCCGCAAGTCTCTGAGCCTTATGCTTGAGCGTTGCGGCTTCGAAGTCTCGTGTGCGACTAACGCCGACGAAGCCATATTCATTTTCGAACAAAGCATGCAAGATCCTGAAGGCTTCTCTATTGTATTTGTTAACCTTGACGCTGCACGGGGCGAAGATTATGCTTTGCTCCGGCAACTCCGGAACATGGAGTCTAGCTGCAGCAGCCCAAACATCACAGCTCGAGTTGTCCTTGTTGCTGTAACAGACCTTGACAGGTAATTTTTTATTTTTATTTTTATTTTTTAATATCGCATTGCAACTACGATTGTCTTGCTTAGGCAGTGCCTTTTTTCTTTTTCTTTTTCTTTTTTTTCCCCCTATATACGCGACTTTGTTTGTTTCAGCCAGTCACCATAACTAACTAGTGTTTCACGGTCGGTGCAGATGGAAAAGCTCGATCCACAAAGACGACATGTCTGCAGGATTGGACGCAGTCATAAATTACCCTCTCCGAGTGCAACAACTACGCGACACTCTGAACTCGTTGGGTGTTCAGATCGACCACCTTGACTTCGCCAACAAGTCACCACGCGGGACATACAATTCCTGGAACAACTCTCTCATTCTGGCCAGATAGCATGTCTTACCCAATGTACCCTTCCTTCCTGTAGTCTTCTTCCTCCTCTGCTGAAAAACTCAAACAAAAACGATTTTTTTTCCCCTCCCCAGCTTTTAGATTAGAGTAAAATCCATTAAAAATTTCTCGTATGGTTTCTTCCATCTTTTAAGTGAAGATCCCGTCTCAGAAAGCCTTCACCCTTTTCAGATGTGATGTGTCTGGACGTTCACTCGCCAGATGTCACAGCTAGGTTTTCGGGGGCATAGGTTCTCTGGGTATTGAAGTCCAACGCTTCGGTTTGTCGACATGAGCTAGTTATACCAGCACATCCCGGGGCTGGATAGTTCAGTTTCTCAGTGTTCAAATTTCCTAGCCCTAAACTCTGGAATGATGATCTCCCTAATGCCATAGGGTGGTCATTGTTTGGCCATGTACAAGAAAATCTACCACATCCGGATGTCCGGGAGGGTTTGCCCTCTTCAACAATCGGTCATCTGTGATGAGTATTATATGTACAACTACTTCATATTCTATCAAAGTAAATAACACGACCATCTCTATGGTCACAGCGTACACTTATCTCTCTGCCCTCTGTCTTCCATCTTCTGCTTCACCGTACTGATTTCAATGGTACCGACAAATTGATATATACACACTTCTACTTCTGGTTTCCTCTGTCGGTGTTGAAATTCACATCATCTCAATGCTGGCCTCCAAGTGCACATTCGCAGAACCATTTACTTTGAGACAATTGAGCTTGTCGTCAACAGTGAAGGTGCCAGCTCACAACATAGCAAAATATGGGTTAAATTCTGACCCATAAGTACAGTTGTTTTCCTCTTCGCATTTGACAATTCTTCTGGCATAAAAAGAAAGTTATTTTTGCGCCTCATTAAGTTGCCTTGATCTCATCGTCACTACTTGTGAGCTCAACCCTGACATCAGAATTCTCCATACCCTAAAACAGGTCGTGCAAACAATCGAAACCACCAATCAAAAGACTGAAGATTCGCGGCATCTTTTCTGTCACCGACACTCAGGGATTAGGCATCGTGGGTTCACAGTTCTCACGATCTTGCATTATCGTGTGTTCATGTATATATATATATATATATATATCTATATATCTGTACCGTGATGCTTATATTTTGCCTGAGATGCTACAACATAACAAAAACTTTATAACTTTAATGTAACAGTTTAGAATTTTGAACTGGGTTAAACTTTCAACAATGTTTTAACCTTGGAATGCAACCCAACTAGTTTTCAATTTTCTGCTTTTGTTTACAAAGAACGATTTTGAATATATTTGCTTAACTTGTATGATACTAGAGCTTGGTTGTTGCATACTGTTTGATGAGGAATGTATCATGATAGGATTTTGAAGCAAATTGTATTCAATTCGTAAAACTGCATCTACAATTATTGTAATGCAGTCTTTTTCAGATAAAAATGTAGAAACAAATAGTTCACGATGGAGTAATTGGTTTTCAATATGGATCTAAAAGTAATTATTCTGTCATTAATTTATTTCTATTGACTCCAGTCAGAAACAGTTTTATATGAAAATAAATTTCAGTAATTGTAAAGAATACTTTATAATTACATAAGACTTCCAAATTTCTCTGATACGTCTCTTTCTCTGTGTATACAGATATACAGCCATCAATAAATGTATTGATATTTTTTCTAAAAAACTTTTAGATAGTACACTCTAATATTTTTTATTTTTAATTTTTTTTTATCTTTTTGGAATCCCTACCAGAAAAAATCATAATGAATTATTTTGTCTCACAGTAACAAAACAAAAACAACAAACAATCATGATCATAATTGAGATATTACATTGCAACCAATAATCCAACGATGTGAACCCAAATACATATCATTCATTCAAGGTGAGGTTTCTTTGCTAAAGCTGAAAAGGAACCTGAAAGTATAAATAGAATAAAAATAAAAAGCTTTCTCTGATTCTACTTTTTTCTCCTTTAACGAGAAGGCAAAAAGTTAGTAGGGAAAAAAGCAAAAGGTTGAGTCTGTCTGACGTGGGAGTTGCCTTTGTTTTGTTTTTGTATGTTTGCCAACGCCATGAAACCCTAACTGGCCCTTCCCGCAATGGCCGTGTTTCTGCAAAACTGACGCTTACGTTTATTGATTCAGGATTAAGAGCACGACGACGACGGTAGAGTTTGTCGATGGGTTCTTACGGCAGCTCGTGTTGTGGCAGATTTCACGGGTTGCGGAATTTAACCTAATTTAGCCTAAGGGATTTGCAGAATATTAAGGGCGAGTGAGATGGCTTTGTGGCCTTTACGTGGTCGCTATTTCTTTCACATGTATATGGATTACTGTAGTTAGGAACTTACCCCTCGATTAAGATCATGATTGGTTGGATACGATATCCCGATTTGCTCCTGAGTGTTGATAGAGTGCAATGTTTTTTTTTTGAATTTGCATTTCTCGTCTTTTAGTTGATTAGTGCGATTGTTAGGCCACTGCCGTAGCGACAGTTCGCACCGGAATTCTTTTGGCACGGGAATGAGTTGCAGTAGTTTTGTGTTGAGAAATTATTACTGCCGAAGGGTCGTTATAGATGTTTGATGGAATTGTGGAACGAGTTTGAAGTTTTTTAAGCGGCGAGGATGGGAGCGCAGGGCAATTCGCTCGAGGTGAGAACTTGGGCTGCGTCTTCTTAAACTTCCTGTTTAATTTGAAGTTCGATCCAAATGCCGTTTCAGCATCGCTTAATGAGATTTGCCATTCTACGCCGCATTCTCTCCTAGCATCCCCAGATGACGTAGAAGCTTCTAAATCCAGAGAAGCGATGGAACAGCCCCATCTCATTCTTTGTATTTAGTCGCATGGAATCACAGACGTGTGTTGAGCTCCAAGAAGTCACGCACCATGCATTGGTCTGCTGTACGATGCTATTTTTTTTTTTTTTTGATAGTTAGTCGAGCGAGGACTTTTCTTGTACAGAGGAATTTGAAGGATCTCTCGGTTGAGGGATTGATTGCAGTGGCTGACAAAGTCAAGGCTCCAAATATCATCGCCCTGCGCTTATTTGTTGCTGCAGAAGACTCACGTGATGGTAAATTACATTCCATGTTTTGCCTTGTTCTGGTCTCATACTCAAAACCATGGACAACAGAGCTGTTAAATACTGGCTTTCGATGTACATACCACTGTCTATACTCAATACGACAACGCCTCCAGAAACCATGAACGTGCCAGCAAAAAAAATATCAGTCTAAAATTATGAGTGTTGAATTTCAGCCGCATCACTGGCCATTAGAACTACACACTTAAAGGCATCTTGTGAAAATGTACCTGGATGGCGATAATGATTTATAGTCTGAAACGTACATGCGTTGAGGTGGCAAATGTTGTCCAGATTCTGTGTGCTATCTTCTCGATGCATTCCACAGTAGATTTGTCTGTTGATACATCGAGGAATCTGTGATGCATTCTGCTCTGTTGCGCTCACCTATGCACCTGATTGTGAACGCTGACCAAGTTCTTTTAACCAGTCCATATTCAGATCGTGCAACACTAATGAGCATACCACAGTGCATTGCACCGCTAGTGTTGCACCGTAATAACAGGATCGTTTGGTGTGATTCGTGAACAGTCAATGATCGCTTCACCCTGCTGGACCGCAAAACTACCCAGGCTTGTTTACTTTTCGCCAGGTGAACCTTGAACGGTCACTTTTTTGGCTTTGACACTTTCTCACATGCATTTTTAATTTTAAAAATACATATGATTCCTGGTTTATTAATTTGTTTAATCTTGGGCATTTGCATGTACTCTTATGATGTTGGAAAGTCAGGAGTTCGATTTATTAATTATACGTGTCTTCTCAATTCGTCAATGGATTAGCAATCTACATACCCTCATAACGTCAAAACCTAAGCTGTTACTTCGTGTAAAGCAGACTTTCTAGAAAGTTGAGCGAATTTTCAATACTTAAATTGCCCAACTTATCATGGCTGTTACAGGAGCCTGGGGCAAGCTGTTGGGGGATGGCTCCAGCAGCTCGAGCTCGGGTTGCGTCTATGGAATCAAGAACTTAAACTACTTGCTGAGGCTCTTTGTGTGTACTTCACTTAAATCTTCACAATTTCTATACCATTGTGTCAGAATTTTTGTTTTTACATTGAACAGATGTGTAAGTCATTTTGCATTCATGAGAATCTGGTGAGATTTCAAAGGCAGGTCACTCGTCTACGCAGTTCGTGATTGGTTAGGTTAGATGCTTGTAGACAACAGTGCTATTTCTGAAAATATTTGTTGTAATAGATGCTTGGGTTGTGATTGGTGGTCGAGCTGTGATTACGAAATTAGGTTAAGTACCTCCCTAATTTGCATGAGTCACTTTCTTTTCCTCTGATCACCATGCTGATTGGTCTTGCAGGCTCCACTAAGACCTTGCGGCTATTGTCGTTTGCCAACAGTGGGCTCGGAGATACGAGGTTTCAGATCCTGGTAAGGTCCTAATAATCCGCGATATTTTGAACTCCTGGATAATATGTGTGCCTAACTTACAACAAACAGAATTTATTCTGTTAAGCTAACAGGCGCTGCCAAGTCCTTGTTTCTTTGTAACACCACAATTGTACCGTATGAAAAGTGCTGCAGGCTAGAAGTCTCCGGGAGTGTGTCCCTTTGAACACTTTAAACTTATCCGGATGTGGCTTAACAGATATGAACGTGCCATTTATTGTTAACATCGTCAAGGTTAGTTCGTCTCGCTCATTTGAAAAATTTAGCTTATGAAAATAATATCTAATACCAACACGGCGTTGTGTTGAAAGGGGACGAAGTATACAATTCTTTCTACTCTTTAATTTTACATTCGTCTCGCGGCGGTTGCGATGTATTCTAGTAACGAATTCACTCACTCTCTCAGTGATTTGTTCTGATTGAACAATGGCAATTTGCGAAGATGGAACTTCTGACCAACTCGGGGCGGAAAATCAGGGAATGCCCTTTAGTGAGAGAATCAAACCTGCTGAGTATACGCCTGGCGAGATGATGTTTGAGCAAGCTTTGGAATGTCAAACAAAGGTGCAAAAGGTAAAGAAAGCTAGTACAAATCAAATTCCATTTCAGGGGAAGTGGACAACTCTAACATCCGTAGAGGTTCATTTTCCCACTCAAATTCATCTTGAATGTGAATATGATGCAGTCGACTGCTTGGCTATCGTAATGCAACAGTGTCTAAAGGCTTGGAAAGTTTTCATCATACATGAATTTATGCACAAAATAGCCCATTGATATCTGAAGACATGTAAATTTCGAAGAACAAGATATAAAACATTCAGATCTGCTCTAATTTTTTGGAGCCCTTTCAACATATTACGTGGCGGAAATGTTGATGCAGACAAGTACAAGGGCCTTAAAAGAACTCGTCTTGCAATCCACCTTGCGGCAATCTGCAACACGTCACAGTACGTGTATGCCATCCAAGGAAATTGCTGATGCAGGACCTCAAGGACTCAGAGTTCTTGACCTCTCATATAATCAGTTCACCGATGACCTTGCCAATAAGCTCTGTCCAATTTTATACGGAGAGGCTCCACTGTCAGGTAGAAAACAAACAAGTTGAAGGTTTTGAAAACATGTTCATTCCTGAATTATGATTATATTCTTGACTGTCCATCCGTTGAGAGGGCCTTTACAACCTCACAACGATATGGCGGATTGTTAAATGTTTCTGGTAATACGTTCAAGGACTAGTGGTGTGAACAAGTCAAACAAGGAAAATTGCTGCTACATGCTGTAACATGGTCTACTTTCATGGCAGGTTGTCAAAGTGTTGCACCGCCTGTCAAGGTGCACCTCAGTTTAGCATTAGGATTCACTTCATGCGTATTAATTGCTATTCAACATTGGGTGAAGCTTTGAATTTGCAGTGCAATAAACTGACTCGCGAAGGAGCAAGCATGTTTGGGGCAGTCATGAAAGAAAAGAAAGTGCTGTTGTTAGTTGACCTGAGGGACAACAAGCTGGAAGTTCCAACTGCAGCCCTAATTTCTGATGACACTGCTGTTCTTAGGGACGTTTCAGTTCCAATTTTTCCGAAAGAAGCTTTTTCCACAGTGAAGCCAGCTGTTGTTTCTGAATTTCGAGACTTTACAGTAGACAAACATAAAAAAAACTTCCTTGCAAAGCCCAAGACGCATGTCATTAGAAAACAGATATCAGGCAGTACAATTCATAAAAGCATGGCTGCGGGTGACTCTTCAAATCAGAGACCAATGTGCAGGAGTCCAGGGGTTCATGTTGCCATCAACAAACTACCTTTAAGAACCAAATCCATACCTGAGCGTTTTCACAGGCGTTTGGTTAGTACGCCAATGACAAACAGGCAGTGCCTGTATTCTATGAATAACCTCACAATGCTAAGTGTGAACTTCGAGTCCGAGCGTTCCAGCCAAATTGTGTCTGACAGTAGGAAGTATTTGAGTTGTAAACGAACCTGCGAGATGGGAAGGCCGACGACAGCACCGTCAACCTTGAGACCTGAAACTGCTCCTGATCAAAGTCGAGTGTTAGGTGCGAACCCCACTCGTAGAACATCCAAGGGTAAAGCCTATTTTAAAGGTTCAGGCAGTGCTCCAGTGAGTGCTCGCAACAAATCTTATAAATCAGCATCTGAAGACATCGCTCCTTGGGAGCAGCTTTCAAGTCGAGATACATATATGAGTGGTTCCACCACATCTCAGAAACCATTTCCAGCGACACTCAAGAAGAACATCGAGTCAAGGATGAGTGGTCTTTCAGTTCTGAGGAATGAAACTTGTTTCCATTCAGGGAAAAAGTTGAAAATGAGGAAAAAGGGGAAACAAATCCCTCAGAATCCTAGCTCTCGACAGATCACACATCACACGGTCGATCCTTTGGTGCCGCTTTTGGGCAACAAAAGCTTGCAAACTTGCCCAGACAAACAGAAAAGAAGGGCTAAGATGAAGCCCAATGCAGTCAAGCGTTTGGAGCTGCAATTTCTGAATGGTAAAGGGTGTAAAGCTGGAGATAATCAAGAGATGCCACCAATAATCACTCCGCTGGACTTGAAACGAACATTACCTTCGTCAACAGTAACAAGCAAAGAAGATTCACAATGGAATAGCTTCATGTCTGAGATGACCATGACGCTTCTTAATCTGAAAGGTACTCCCCAGGATACCTTCTCTCGCAGAGGAGTTATGGAACAGCAATTTAAAGCAGGCGCTATTGAGGATACGTAAGGACGTAACTTCACCCGTGTATGCCAGTATCCATGTGTAATCTTTCAGACAACCGCTTTTTACTTGCACTGACAATTGCAGAGGCGACAAATGGAAGTTTCTATTTCTGTTTCTCAATCTCGAGGACGGACAGCAACTTCCGCTCAAGGACATCTGGATTGGAGATGTTCGAGCAGGCTGGACAAATATTTCATCGAGAAAAACCTGTGAAGCATCTAAGGAGATCTTTGGCAATGTATAAATGAAAATAATAAAAAGGAAAAAACCCATCGAAGACACGAGATCAAGATGTAAAAAATTGGTTCAGCCCCGTACAGAGCAATTGCTCTAACAGCGTCGAAAGTGATGGAGCTCCATATCTTTGAGGTTGATAACATGTCAGGTGTGTTTGCAGGGAGATTTGATCACCTCTTCGGATCATCTGAACCTGAAATCGCCGATGGTCAAGAGCTGCTCACCAACCGGCTTCACCATTCCGGGAGGTGCTGCGTGACAGGTGACAAGCTGAACAGAGCAGTGCTTTTAACCTAGGGTTGATTATACCTACGTTATGGTCGACGGTAACCATACAGAAAGTTTTATTGCAGAATTATTATACATTCTCTTGTGAACTGTCTCCTCCATGCAATATCCACGAGTTAAGATAAGTCAGCAAGTCCTTGGCCAATACTCTGACAAATGATTTGTCTGCCAGGCACAGGTTTGCATAAACCAAGCCCATTAGCCAGTCCATCAACACAATGTAATTGCAAGATACCTAACAGAATGTCACATCCTTACATCCTCGGAACCTCAAGATGAACCTGCATGCAATAGTCAAGTATACCCTCATCATCTACAAATCAAGAAATAAATGATTTAATAAATAATCTACAAGTTTCTTAGGGTTGAATTTGCTAATCATTTTGTTTACCTGTAGGCTCAATACTTAGGGATAAATTTTTTGCACCTGTATTTCTTGTCATACACAACAAAACAAAGTTTATGTTTAATCTGAACGTTAATTTACCTTAGAAACCAGTTTGCTCGTAAAAAAGATAATTGTACTAAGCTTTATATTAAAGGTGTTGTTAACAGTATTTTTCAAAAATTTCAATATTGGACAAATTATAATGCACAGCATTGAAATAAAGACGCATCGCACACTAGTAAAGGCGAAGATTGTAAGAGACAATAATTGATATTTTAAGTTTATGCTTATAAGATTGAATATGACCTCAATTTTGCATCAATTGACACTGTAAAATAATATGATACTACAACACAATAAAACTATAATTGTTTTCTAAGAAACATGTCTACAACAAGGTTATGTCAAATTTATAAACCCCTATACAAATAAACAAGTATACAAATGTATTTCAATTATTCAATCCACAAAATGATTACAATCTTTTAATGAATAACAATTATATTCTAACAACAACATCACTTCTGCCAAAAGGTATATAAAAAAACCTAAAACAAGATGCAGTAGAGATTATTGATAACACAATGATATCAATGGCATGAAACATCACTGAATTCTGTGATGAAATCAAACAAAATGGGACAATATGTAATAAAATGTTTTGTCTAATATCTAAATATATATTTTCGGTTAAATTGAGAAATTACTGAAAAATCATATTTTAAATGCAATATTTTTAATTTTTTTAAAGCTTTGCTTTAAAAAATGACAAATAAAAGTATAAGTTAAATAACCCCACACTTTACCACAATAATTTTTATACTTAAAATGAGCTTTCATTAAAACCAAATCAAATATAAAAGCATGAAATCCAATATGTATAGAATAATTTCGTAGTAGAAAATATTTACAATGCAACTTTTATGTATTCATTGTAAGAAATAAATCAGGTGTTTATTCATTTGTCTTGATTACAGTTTCGAAATAAAAAAAATATTTTTAAAAAATATTATAAATAACAAAATTTCATGAATAAGTTAGATTTACATTGATAAATGTTTTTAGTGATAATAATATTAGTCAGAGCAATAAAAACATTTGTTTGGTTTTCGAATATTACATTTTTTTTTTTTTTTTTTTTTTTTTTTGTTGTTGTTGTTGTTGTTGTTGTTGTGTGTGTAACATGCACATCTTTTTAAAATGTTTGCAACATATAGAGATGTTGTCTAATAAAGTTATAAAAGATTGTGAATACTTTGGTAAAAGTATCATAATGGTCTTTTTGGTTGGTGTTGAACCTTTTATATTGCTATATTTGTATTATTTTATGCAAATTAATAATCAGAAAATAGAATTAGAAATATTTATTTTAATTATCTATTTGTTTAAATAATCTTTATTTGTGAAGTAAAATAAAGGGATAGCAAATGAATGCATGTTTATTTTTTGATTTTATTTGGTTTATGCATGTTCAAGATAGATAAAATAAAATAGAAACAAATTCATAGAGCCTCTAATTTTAAGATTTTTTTTTCTTACATAGAGTGAAAGATATTCACATTAAAAAGCTCAAAGTAATAAATGATACTATGATATTTGAATTTCAACATATCTATATATATATTGAGATTATTCAAATGCATTATTTGTTTTTATTCTATTACATTTTAGGAACTAAAAACAAATTCAAACCTAATTATTGGTAAAATAAAATAAAAACATAAAAGATGAACATAAATTATTATATAGATGTATTTTGCAACTTAAATCTTATGTTGACAGCCACTTCTAATATAGTTTTAATTTAAGATATAAACATCACATCTCTCTCTCTATATATATTAGTGGAAACCCATGTTGTTGGCTAGGAAAAAACCAATGTGATATCCTTTTTTGAGGTAGAAATGAATCGTTTGCATTGTTAAGGCCACGTGAATCTGTAAACCTAATTCTGTTAAGGCCATGTGAATTGCTGCATAACTCAACTTTTGCTTCACCTCTGATGAAAACAATGAGATATGAAGACAATTAAAAATAGTTTCTGTCTCCTTTGGTTCATCTTCTAGGCTGTTTTATGTAAGAGATATACATGTACAAAAATAAATAAATTATGTCATTTAGATTGCAATATACCCACAAAACCAAACATTTGTTACAAGCACCAAATAAAAAACGAACTCGCACTCTCTAGACAATGGTATGGGCCAATGGCGAAGTTACAGCCCAAGTTATTGACTTATTATAGTGTAATAATAAGAGGCCCGGTCCCCAGCTTCGAACGGGCCGGGTGACGAAACCCGGCTCCGCGGAGAACACGCCCGTCCTGCCCCGTCGCCCCTCTTGTACGAGAGTTTGTTTTGTTTGCCGTTGCCCTTTGTTGCCTGGAAACGCTGCTCGAGAACCCCCCCCCCCCCCCCCCATTTGATCTCTCATCTCCGGCCTCTCGATCGGATCTTCATCAGTTGAGCTCATCGCTCGTACTGTGCTCTGTCTTCTGGGATTAGTTCCAATCGATTTGGTGGGTACCCAATTTCTCAAGTTGTCATTGCTCTTCGCATTGTCGACTTAGAGTGAGTGTTCCTTCACATCCAGCACGAAGAAGTCCTCGCTTGCTGGACGTGGTTTAGTGCCCCAGTGCACGCGATTCCGAAGGTTTCTGGCGGTGTTTCCCTTGTTGGATCCCTTATTTGGTTGAATTTGAGCGAAGCGTGTGATGGATGTCGTAATTCTGTGTGTTTTGGGTGTGGAGAATGTGCTAGGCTTTTGAGAATTTCTAGAAATTACGTAGAATTGAATTGTTGGTATTGATCTTCGTAGCTCCTTCGCTTAATACAACGTGGGTTATGTGTTCATGTCGAGAGTGAATTAGGATTTTGAAGGTGATCGTACGTTGTGGAGTGCACGTTCGCAACGGGAATGGTTTCGATATGTTTATGTGAATGGTGTGATGTGTGGGCAGGGAAACAATGCTTGGCAGGCAGGGACTGAGGTCTGGTCTGAGGACATGGGCTGCATGCCGGCCCGTGTTGGCACGCAGTTTTGCAGACGCTGCTCCTGCCGAGGCGATTGTTCCTGAATCCTTCAAGCAAGACTGGAAAAAGGTTGCTCCGAATTATGATTTGCCTCATTTTCCAAGCGAGTACATGAGTGCTCGACCTCCTGTTGCTACAACCTTACCCACCAAACTCACAGTAAACTTTGTACTTCCTCACCAGTTCGAGATGCAGGCTAAAGAGGTTAGGGTTCCTCCAGCTCGTGTTTTGCTGTGTTTCCGAGTAGTTTGAAGGTTCTAGGAATGTCTTTGCAGCACCATTTAGAATGTGCGAGTGTCTTTTGTTTACCTATTTTTCCTTCTTCTAGTCTCTTTCTAAGCGTGTTGTTTACAGTCGTTGAAGTCCTCAATCTTTGCAATATCCGGTTTTGCCTCCTCTTCATGCTCTAGTCTCGGTTACCCTGAATGTAAAATGCTCATCGTACTAGGCAGATGCATTTTCATTCCTTCCAAGATTCAAGGGAGATCAACGAAGAGTCGATATTCGTTCTGTTTTCCAACTTGTTCATAACAGATCTAGTGTTTGTATACTCATCTTTGTATTGTCAAATCATTTCTCCTCTTTGCTGCTCGTTTGACATAGCTTCAGCGAAAGACCATTGTTATTACATGACTGACGCTGTTTGCATGCTGACTGCAGGTGGATATGGTCATTGTGCCAGCAACATCAGGACAGATGGGAGTTTTGCCTGGCCACGTTCCCACTATTGCGGAGTTGAAGCCTGGACTCATGTCTGTTCATGAAGGCGCTGATGTTAAGCAGTACTTTGTCAGTAGTGGATTTGCATTCGTGCATGCTAACTCTGTTGCGGATATTGTTGCAATTGAGGCAGTATCCTTGGACAAATTCGATCCCGAGGAAGTTAAGAAGGGAGTTCAAGAGTACACTCAGAAGGTCGCTAACGCCAAGGATGATTTGGAAAGAGCAGAGGCCCAAATTGGCCTCGAAGTACACAGCGCTTTGCAGGCAGCGCTAGGCGTTTCTGCGTGAGCTTTTGTTAACGTTGATTCAGCTTCGTGCTCAATAGTTTCTCAAATGCTGGTTATCTTTGATGTGTATGGTCATCGTGCTGCGGCACCCAGCAGTGCGTAATTCTTCAGAGCTGTAGGGGTTAACTTCCAAAATTTTCATCTTTTTGCTGTATGGATGAACCCACCGTTGGCCAAGTGGATAGGCAGTGCCAATCACTTCATTTCTTACACCATTCTTAAGCAACTTCACAAACGTGCCTCCTCAAGTTACACTAAGGTCCCTTGTCTGGGGGTCTTTCATCTTATCAATAAACATGAAGCTGTACGATGAGTGATGCGGAATGATGGGGCCTGAATTCTAGAGATGTATTCTGGTATCTGAGAAGGGATGTATTAATATAAATGTTCCCATTTTCAGTTTGTATAAGGGGATCACTGGGAATGATTCAACAACCTTTCTTAGCATTATTTCAAACTTTTTACGAGGTGAACTTTGTTTAATGAAAGACCATCAATGCACCTCATTTACAATAAGTTTCAAAACTGAGGGTAAACATTTTTACTCTACAAAGATAAATTTTCGCTTCATATCTTTTTGTCTGTTTTTAATAAATTTCTCTAATGATTGACGCTTGATTTCAGCATCACTCTACACCTGAAGTTCAACCTAAATTCATCACAGCAGGAAGGTATGTTTGCATGAAGACAATTCAAGGATGGGTATATTGAAGACGTGAAATGTAGAGTTGCACCCATCAAGTGTAAGCACCAAATCCGACAATGATCTCACAAATTGAACACTGTCCACGTTCAGCACCAAAAGACAGGTCTCACCCAACCGCACTTCCCCAAGGGACGCAGACAAAGATTCCTCAGTAGTTTTTGAATAAAAAGCAAAACCCACGGTTAATGGACACCAACAATTCAGCTCTCATGCAGTCATGTCAAACCATTGCATCGCGTGCAACGAACTGCCATGTCCAGGAGACCGTCGATTTCCAGCAATCGTCGTTGGTGAGGATAAAAACCCAGTTGAACAAAATGGCCTTAACCCTTTTTTTTCATATAATGCATACAAAACATCTAAACGAAAAGAGAGTGAGAGAGAGAACGACAGAAAACGAGATGGGTCTCGATAACCTGCAGATCTGAAACAACTGCAAGCATAGATGTGCTCAAAGCCCAAGCTCACTCTCTCACTCTCTTATGCATTGGGAAGCTTGCAGCATCGAGGGAGTGCAAGCTGAGTGTTATAAATTAAAGGGAGGGGGATGTACTCGAGGTGGAGATGGAGTTTGAAGCCATGCGGGAGCCGTGATAGCGCGAGAGGGGGAAGAAACTACGGTTTGGAATACATAAATGCATACATAAATACAGACATACGGTGAGGTTCTGAAGAGAACTGGGGCATGTCAGTATCGCCAGGAGTAGTAAATATTGTATGTGTATAGTATGGAGGGAGCTACTGTATTTAATACTCGTATGGAGTAGGGTAGTGGGTGTACGGGAGGCAAGGTGCGGGGCTGGAGCTCCAACTTGGAGCCCCAGCGTCGTCGTTGGCGACCTCCGTGGACACTTCGACGCGATTTGGGAAGCAATTTTGACGTGGTGCATGTGATTCGGAGCTGGAATTAGGGTACCCTTGCGACGTTGGTGTGAAAATTTTCGAATTTTTGAGATGCGGGGTGTGGTGGGGTGATTCGGGCATCGAGTGGTAGAGGAGGTAGGAATCGCCGAGGTTGTCAGATTTCGGGGGCTCGATGCTTTCCACGGAGAAATTTGTCGTAGGTCACCGGCCCAGTTTACGGTTTTCCGGTCGTTCCATGCTGCCATCGTTAATGTGCGTTTGATTGCTGAGGTATGTGAACAATTTCAATAACTTCTGCCATTTGTAGGGTTTCGTCAGTGGGGTTTGTTTTTGTTTTTGTTTATGTTTTTTTTGTTTTTTTGTTTTTTTGTTTTTGTTTTTGTTTTTTTTTTTTTTTTTGTCTCGGAGCTTCGTGACCTTGTTTTGGAAATTTCGATATTGAAATCGTGTATTTGTGGTCGGATGCGGGCCGTTAGCAACCGATTGTAGCGTTTTCCCCCCAAACTAAGATGGAGTCTTTTGCTAGACCTCGGGGTTTTGGGGGGAAATACTACCTTATCGCCATTTCTGATACATAGGCAACCGAACGACACTTCTGCACGAGTCTACTATTTTGTTGGACCCATTTCTAGCTGTTTGGTGGTTGTGTTTTCAGGTTCTAGACATTGTCCTTCGTTGTCACGCTCGATGGCGCAGATGTCTAGGGTTTTTTTAAATTACAGAAATGAGAATATAATGAAATATTTGTAATTATCAACTTCACTATTCTTTTCTGCTCTTGAACATTGTTTGTAGAGGTTTCCTCGTTTCAAACAGCCTAAAAACACCTCGGGAACAATATGAAGATATGCTGTGATTTCGGTTTTGTTCCACTGGACGTTGAATTATTAAGCTGGGATTTTGTAAAATGCGTGAATGATGTATCTTTGTTCTACGTGAGGGCATCAACGCATACCTTTTGAAAACCTGTCGATGCAATCTTTTATTGTGGCACACATTATCTAGAAGATTGCATTATTTGGAGTGGATTGCACCTCGTGCAATTTAATTTAATTTAATTCAATTCAATTCAAATTATTATTATTATTATTATTATTATTATTATTATTTTTTCAATTTTTTTATTTACTTACATAAATGCAATGATTTTGAATCCACTGAAGTTGTCCTGTAGATGTTAACGTTGTCGTGCGAAGGATTATCTGCCGAAATAGTTTCGATGTGATCGTCGAATGAGCTGCCTATCAGTTATGAACATTTTTAGATACTGAAGGAACATCATCCAAGTCCATCCCCCTCGATGCCCCTCAGTACACTCTGGAGGGTAACGTAGTTATAGATGTCTGTTTTGTATGAATGGCCTGGTCTCGTTGTTCAGGGAGGTGCATGCAAATCGTCAAGTACGATTTGGAGCTACCAAGCGCTTTCCCCGAGTTATTTGCTCTGGAAATTGTCTGGTGAAATGTTTAAGAGTTGGTATTACTCAGGCGTGACGTGTGATGAGGTCAAAAGATTGTGATTTTTACTGAATAGGTGAATGTATCGTTTTTGCGACTTCGCGAATCAGGCTGAGTAAGTATGATCTGATTCTGGAGGGTGCTGGGGGTTGCACAGTCTGAGAGTGTCTGTACTGTGCGTGTGAGCCAGTGTCTCCATTTACATATGGGTTCAATTTACTCTTTATCTACTTAGGTTATTCTTGCTATGTCACAGAAAGTGACAAGGTGATTGTCCTAGAAAGCAATTGTTATGGTTGCTAGTGCGCTTTGTATGCTGCCTCATTCTGCCCTGATCGTGCACTACAATGCAGCTTCAGAGATTATTCAGTGTTGGAGCTGAATACAAGTAGTGTCTGTCATGTCACGGTGCAATAAGGAACTAGACGGAGAAAAAGTGCATGATCATAGAGCTGGGCCCTGGACTTGCACCGGGGTTTGAGTACTCAGTCAATGCAGAGCCAGGTCCCATGGGAGCAGGAGCTGGTGCTGCAGCCACCATAGAAGACACTGAGTCGTCTCCACGTTGTGCTGCAATTGAAAAAGCTCAAGCTGAACTCAGGTTTCGAAATTTCGCATAATTTTGTGTCTGTAAACTTCGTTGAGGTCGTGACTGTTGCTGGATGTTTTGTTGTCAAGTGTGGCTTTGACTGCATGACAACTTGTGAAGCAGCTTTGGGATTGATGAAAGCAGTGTTTGCATTTTGGATTGGTTCAGGCGGGATCTTGCTGTCCGGGAGGAGCGCAGAAGGGAGTTAGAGTTTTTAGAGAAGGTGGTTATGCTTTGCATTCTGTTGTGCGTGTATGTCAGAAGCTTGAAGCCTTGTAGTCTGTATCGTATTGTTTCATCGCATTTAATTTGGCGATGCGCGATTTCCAGGGAAGGAATTCATGTCGGGCTTTGTGGACTTCCAGCCTTTCCGGAATCGTCTTATGATTGTGTTTAGCTATGTAGTTTCAGGACTCTTGTGAATGGTTGTTTCTAATTTTCAGATTGAATGTTTCTGTGCTCCCTTGTCATGCTTGTGGAAGAAGAGTTGATGTTTACTTTGTGTATTCATGTTGATTGTAGGGAGGGGAGATTTTGGATTTTAAGTTTGGTGAAGTTCTGTCGTTGGATTTTTCGGCCTTTTCCCCTACAGAGCCACCTGTTCATCCGGCGTCTTCACTAAAGAGGTGAGCATTAGGTTATCGATTTGAGCTTTCTGGTACCGGAGATTGTCTCTTGATTCCTCTTGAACTTACCGTCCGAAGTCTCCATGGGACGCAAGGTGACTCCGTCGTCAATGGGAGGCTCCTAATACATTCAGACGGTCTTGTGACTACTGTTGTAGCGATTGTGCTCTGTGTCCAGATGCTTGATTTTGTTGACTTATGATTTGTCGGCGTACTAGAATTAGCTGTGAGCTGGACACATTTTGCAAGATTTAAGCCCCTTGGGCAGCATCAAAATTTATTCAAAGTTGATTGCGCTTCATGCTTTTTTTTCCTTGCAATGTGAGAATGTTGCACCTTTTTTTGGGTTGGTGTTTGGCGGGGATGTGTTTTGGCTGCTAGATATATGTCCAGCTTTTTCTGACAATGTCGCTCACTTCACCGCTTGGAAAGATTGAAAAAGCTTTGGATTGAGATTGTCGTTCGAGTAGCATGGAATTTGAATTTCGGAAATGTGGCGTCCTTTCTGGTAAGAAAATTGATAAGTGGTTTGTACTGTTTGGCAGCGAGGAAGAGGCCGATGTGGTGGTCAATGGGGATTTGATTAAGTTAAGCGAAGGATTGGTTGGAGCAGGAGCAGTAGAGGAAATAAATGATGTTTTAGTATCGTCGGTTCCAGTCGTCGAGGAAGATGGTGTAGAATGTTGTGAAAGATTGGGCTCATTAGACGCGAGTATAGGAGATCCAACCAAGCCGTTGAATGAAACCCCCTTAGAACTGGACGTCGCTGGTGGGAATGGCATCCTTGAAAAACCCGAGGGTGCAGTTCATTTGAATAGTGATAGTGCTCTTAGTCTAGAGGAGCGCAATGGTCATACGTTGCCAGAAGAGGTGGAAAGGGTGGCGGGCAGTGATCGTGAGGTAGTGGAATTGGAAGGCACGGTAACCAGTTGCAACTTGGAGGATGAAGCTATGGTAGAAATGAGTTACCAAGTTTTACCGCATCAGAGCTCACATGCTCTGTCACGCAAGTGGAATGGATTGACTGGTAGCCAAGAGTACGAGCCCGTGAACGAGCTCATATCTAGATGTGGGCCGGTTTTGGAGCAGCATGCAAGTGAGCCTAGCCCCAGGGACAGAGCTTCTGTTCCTTCTGGTAAGGCCATACAGTCTTTCGATGTTCGAGTTGATTCCGACAGCTCATCTTTGGCTTGCGAAGGTCGTCCGGATGAGCTGGCGGACAGGTCAAAGACTCATGAGCAGCCTGTCGCCGTTGGGGAGGGGCTCGGCAGTGGTGCATCTGCTGTTCAGGTTGAAGTTGCAGCAGCCGAAGTTGTGGCCAAAAATCCCACTGGGATTGTTGAAGATGACGTAGGGACTGTCGAGCAGGCCACAGAAAATAGCGACCGGGTGGATATTGTGTTGTCCTCCTCAGGAGCGGATACTGGCAGGGTGTCTGACGCAGCAGGAATCTCACGGGAGCCGTTAGAAAATGTTCCTAAAAAACATAGCTCTGATGTACTCAGTGAGAGCGTTGCGGATGGTTCAAGCGGCGCATCAGTGCACAGAGATGCGAGGATAGCGAAAAAGGTCGCATCAAGAGGAGGCAGTTACTTGAAATTGGCATACAGAGAGAAAGCAGGAGTGGATGTGGAGATGGGTAATGGTCATCATTTAAGGTTGAAGTCAGACGAGGGGGTGGCGGGTGAGAGGGCCAAACAGTTTCCTACAGAGGCGGAGCCAGGGGTTCACGAAACCAATGGTGCTGATTCGCAGGAACTTAGAACGGGGGCTCAAGCGGGTGCCACAGTAGGTGGCGTTCCGAGGCTTGTCGGACGGCCGGGAAGTATTTCTGGTGCACCAAATTGCAAGTATCCAGGGGTCGCTCTGCCATCGGAGAAAGAACAGGATTCAAAAGTACAAGTTGAAGGCAACAGACACAGCGTGGAACTGAGGGAGAAGCTGGCCACTAAAGCTCGCGAAGACTTCATTCTTGAAAAGGCTGAGCACCTCAAGGTAGTAGACACGAATTTTGGAATGCCATGTTAAGCCAATGTTAAGCCGTGATTGAGTGTGTATTCATCATGGTTTGTTTTCGTGTTTTAATGCGACAGTTGTTATCTGGTTGTGCAGGCGAAAAGAAAGCTAATTGATGAACGGAGGACTTTGAAGAAGTGTGCGGAACCTTCACGGCGAAAGTCGCATTGGGATTTTGTTTTGGAAGAAATGAAATGGATGGCCAATGACTTCTGGCAGGTACATGGTTACTGTCTAACTTCTGAAACAACAACCACATGTGAGAGCAAGTTTGTTTTGTTCGAAGATGGTATTTGGGTGTGTTGGTGCCTGTACTTGTTCATTTTTCCCAGTTTTTCGCTTTTCTTTGTGGTACATATTGTGCTTCTACAATCAGAGAACACGGGGTTGGTGCGTTGGTATCGAGGGGTTTGCTTACTGTGCATGACTCCCGTGTGTTGTTGTCTCTTTCAGGAGAGGACGTGGAAGAGGTATCAGGCCGCCCATGTTTGTCTGGAAATTGCCATGAAAAAGGGGGAGGTAGAGTTTTTGGCAGCAGGTTTGATCAGGGAGCAACGCAGAGTTTCGAGCATTTTGGCACGTGCTGTGACGGATTTCTGGCACAGGGCAGAGATGGCAGTTACGAAGGCCAAGAGCGATGGTAAAAGCATCAAAGAGCAATTGAAGAAAAGAACAAGCGATAGTGAATTTGTTCCAATGGATGTGGATTGTCCTGTTACGAAAGAGGTAAAGTTGTTTTAAGATCTTTCATTCACTTCTCTTGACGAGACCAATCTAAGGGCTTTATACATCAGTGAAGTTGGGCTACTTGTTTTCAGTAGTATTTTGTGATCGGAGGAGAGCTCGAGTATTACGGTGGTGTCTTGAATATGTGATTGTTTGCATTTTCTATGATCAGACTTCAGAGAAGTCGGTGCGTGTTGAGGAAGCTGGGAAGGAGCAAACAAGCGAGGTACTGAAGTATGCTGTTCAGCTGTTGAAAGAAATGGGGTCCGCCAGGATAGGACAAGCCGAGGCCCCTTCGACGCCCGAGCGTTATCAAGAAAACCATAGTATTTTGGAGCAAGTTCGTGAAGTGCATGTAATACATTACTCCCGCAAACGCTATGGTGTGATGGCTTAGTTGTGTCGAAATGTGTTTGAAATTGAGCGTTGTTTCGTCTACAGTTACGTTCTAACTGTGGTATAGCCACGTTTTTGAAGCTGGCAGAATTGGGTATGGTGTGTATCTGTTGTGTACCCTCGGGTTGTGGCGATAAGGCAATAAGAAGATTGGAAGGTGCTTTGCTTGGGTGCGAATGGTTTATTTGTAGTGCTTTGTTGGTATAATTGTGCTGACTCCTTCGGGTGGTATCAGGTACCGCTGTCGTACAAGGTACCTGTTGGAGCAATGGAAGCATATAGAGCAGCAGTGGAAGCCGAACACGCTAGGTCCGAGGAGGTATGTAATGGTGGGGGCGAACGATGGCATGCGTAGTGCGATGGATGTTATTTTGAACGTAGAAGATTATTGTGTGTCCGTTGACCAAGCATTAGAACTCATTCTTGTACTTGTGTTCAGGAGTATGAAAAGAGGCGCACAGTTGCAATTGCTGAGGCCGAGGCTCTGGCTGCCGCGGATGCAGCCGAGGATGCAAGCGCGGGTGGGGATGCGAGCTACGGAGAATTCTCGAATGATGGAGGTTCTCAGGATGACGAACCTGCTATGTTAATGAACGAGAGGTCTCGCATATCGAAGAAGAAGCGGAAGAAGATAATTAAAACCGGCAGTATTGGGTTAAGAAGCGAAGGTAGCGGGTTACAAGGTACGAGATGATGTATTAGTGTGAGTAGAGTTTAGGGTCAGACGGAAGTCCGTTTAGTGTGTTGCTTATAACCAGTGGCTTTGGGTCGATGAGGTTTTACGGCTGAAATTTTTATGCTCTATTGATTGATTCATGGATTGATTGATTTCGTTTCTTTTCTTTGCCTTATATGGACATATCCGTCGTTCTGATCTTGATCTTCTTGTTTGTGGAGTTTTCCCGGTGATCAGGATTGCCATATCGAACTTTAGGTGCAGTGAGTTCAGAATTGGGCATGCCTTCAACTCCTGTAACCGGAAAGCGATCCATCACGGTAGGCTTGGGACCGAACAGTTTACCTGGAAGCACCTCAGTGAAGCGTGCGCGGTCATCAGCAACTAATCTTCGGTCACGTGGCACACAGCCTGGTACTTCTCCAGGTAATACCATTTTCCTGAGTGGTAAGGGGTGATTTTCATGCAGCGAAATATTAGAGAATATAGATATTATGGTATGGTGGGAACTCTTGTTTAGAGTACCTTTCTCATAGTGGTCTTATGCTTCTCAAATGCTTGTTTGTGTAGGTGCAAGTGGACTTGGGTTGCAGAAGGGGTTTGAGTTTCAATCCCATCAAGATGACGGGTTGGAAATGCTGGATGATTCCAGCCAAGGTGATGTTTTTAGTGACACACCTAGTAGCAAAGTGGTTGGAGGCGATGGTAAACCGAAGAAGAAGAAGACTAAGACCAAGTCTTATGTGGGGTTGACGTCTTTCGACGGGGGGTTGGTTCCAGGCACGTCGGTGAAGGTAATGCAAGGAGATATGTGTGTAAGCGAGAGTGGTTCAACGTTTCAGTGTTTAAGTGACTGCTTTCACGGTATGTTTAAATTCGTGTTAGAGAAAGGTATCCTGAAGCCTAAGCTGAAGCTTCTAGATGTGGCTTTTGTTGTAGGATTTGGACGGAGTTGGCCAGGAACCTCGACACGAGCAGGTGAGTGCACGAGGTGTTGCTGGAGATATTTGTTTTCGATCTTCTTAGTTGAATTGGAGGATTGATGTTTTATACAGATCACGTAGTAAATATTTCTTTCCGGGTGCCTTGACATTGGGAATGGAGTGAATGGTCTGCAATAATATCGGCATTTGGAACGGAGTGATTGGCCTTTGTATGGGAGTGATGTGGCATGTTTAGGATTGATGAAAGATCATTGTGCATCTTAATTGAGTAGTACTTATTCTAAAGCTGTTCTTTGCACTCTGAGTTTTTACAGCTGAAACGGAAAGCAGATATGCACTGTGTTAGCATTGGTGGATCTGACGGAGGCTTGGGTAAGTTGGTGCCTCATTGTGAACATGTTACAAAATCTTTGGTGAGGTGATGTATTGTCTTTGTTAGTGTGTTAGGTGTTAGGTTGTTGGTCATGGTTTGTGGCATGGCTTTCGGGGTACGTATGTTTTGCAAGTAAGGTGGGTCTGATATGCCTGCAATACTTACTGCAGATACACCAGGTGCGTCAGGATCTCCGGGTATATCAGTTCAACAAATCCCGAAAAAACATAAATCTGTTAGGCAGGGGGAGGCAAATCCGGAGGCAGCTCTTACATCTGGTTCACACAGCGGGCAACTAGTGTCCTCTGTAGTGGGTTCCAATAAGTTATCGAGGCAAACCAGCATGCGAGACAGCCATCGAAGGGTACGACCGAAGGTGAGGATTGGGTTTTTTGGCAATATTAGAGACATGGTTGTAGCACATCTCTCTCTCTCTCTCTCTCTCTCTCTCTCTCTCTCCCCCTTTTGAAGAAGAATAACTTCAATAATAAAGTAGCTTAAAACTTCGTATTTAAAGTTTTTGTTCGTTATTGTTACGTGATGCAACAAGAGTTAAAGAATTAATTAAGTCTTATTTTTCAAATGCCCTATGTGGTTGTGTAAATGCACATGCAAACCTTCCTGTTGATGGTGCTATTTAAAGTGTGTTTGAGAGTTTTATGGGAGAGCTGGCTTTTGAAGTGCGTGCAGGAGGACTGTAGTTTGCAAAGTTGTTGGGCTTACAGTCGTGAATAGGATGTAAATCCGACTTTTATGTCAGAATTTGAAGTGGAGTTAGTGGAACATTTAGCAGCAGCCAAGGTCAAGTTTCTTGTATGCGAAGTTAATGTTGAGCATGAGCTTTGTAAACTGTTATTTTGCAGGTTCCTCTTGGTACGGCGATGGGGGTAGGCATTCCTTGGTCAGCTGGCGAAGATCAAGTATGTATTACTAGGCGACTTCGTTGTTGATTGTTTGAGAGAGGTTCTCAGTTCGCATATTGGATATTTCAATGGTGTATAAAAGTTGTTTTTTGAGTGGAAGTATGAAATGTTTGCGGCATATCAGGCCGCATTTGTGCAGCTCTACTTAGAAGGATGTTTAGAGAAGATGTTGAGAGGGAGCAAGTTGACATCCTTGACACACATTGACTTGGCTTTGTGTTAACCATTTAATTTTCTTGCTTAAACCCGATTGTTGGAAGGGCTAACCGTTAGACGGATGTTGCAGGCTATTCTTGCCCTTGTTCATGATCTAGGTCCGAATTGGGAACTCGTAAGTGATGTGCTGAGTTCGAATTCGCAATTAAAGGTATACAACATTTTTTCTGTCCTTTTAGCTTTGCCAAAGCTACTGGTGTTATCTGAGAAGTGTGAAAGATGGTGCATGTAGATATCGCCTGAGACGGGCATATTGTGACTGATTATAAATATGTTCAATTTTTCCGGTGAGTGGAAATGTATCTGTATTGGTGCACAGAGTCTGGACATTTCATTATTGTGTTTGGTTGTCCAGGGCATCTGCCGTAAACCTCAGCAGTGCAAAGAGAGGCACAAAGCACTGACGGAGAGAGGTGGTACGGAGGGGTTAGAGAATGCGGAAGATCTGAGCTCATCGCAGCCTCAGGCACCTAAAGTAAACGTCATGCATACTCTGTTGTATTGGGCAATGAATTGGTTGATAGCGTACATGCGTGATTCGAGAGGTTGGATGATAAAGTTGTGATGGTCCTGGAGTGGCGTATGCTTTCTGAAGTGAAGAACACATCATGAGTTATGCTCGCTAGTTGTGATTCTACTGTGTGTGAACATTGAGTAGGTCATTGTTCTAAGGCTGGAAATTGTAATTGGGTTTTCAGGGCATTGTTCGGGGTCCGCGGGGCCAGAGTGCAGCAGAGGAGGATACTCTCAAGCATTTCGAGCAAATTGTTGTAATTGTGCAAAAGTATCGTGCACGAAAAATTCCGGTGAAGTCTTAAATAATTTCTCTTGAATACTTTGCAGTTAATGTGGCATAGGAAGGGTACAGTCATCTTGGTTTGTTTTTATTGCTGAATGTGTGAAAGGTGTAGGGTTTTCTGGGGTGATTGCCTTCCAGCGGAGTGAACCTGAGAAGATGTCAGATTTGACGAGCATTAACATGTAGTTGATCTGTATTACAGTTGCAAGCTAGGTGGCTTTTCTCTGTAATTCGGACTAGCTCCTGATATAGTGTTTGTGCGTATCCAACAGGGTGATATTAAAGATCAAAAGGTTTTGCAAGCTTCACATCCTTCTCACGGAATCGCCATTTCCCAGTTCTGTTCCGGCAGCGGCGGTCCTCCAAAGTAAGTGAATTGAAAGTGTTGGGGGTCAGATGTCACGTTGTCAGTTGGGCTTAAGTGGTGGGTGGAGGTCGGGAATGTCGGTGTTGGTGTGTCTGTATGTTTCTGAATTCCATGATGTAGCGTTTCTGTAGGAAGTCGAACTCATGCAGTATGCTAGTATATTGCGCAGAGGGTGAACTTGTGGATGTGGATAGGGTGCATGGATATCAAATAGTGGCCCCTCTGTAATTCCAGGCACGTTTTCTTGACACGATTTTGACATGGAATTTTACTTATTGGCCTCAGTCCCGTGCAATTAGCGGACCGGATGACGAGTACTAGCGATGGTGGCGGTCATCCATACCCAGCACAGGGTTCTCAGGCAAATGTGATGGGGCCTCAAAACGCTGGGTCAATGTCTGGGTTAGGGATGAGACCTCCAGCAGGTGGACTCCCTCTCCCCCCTGCTTTGCAAGGTACAAACGGTTCTCGTTTGGGAGGGGGTCCTGTGTCTCCTGCTGCCATGGGCGCTGCAGCTGCTAGGTAATGACACACCTGTGTGAGTAGGTGCACATATTTTTATCTTCTGGCTGTGGCAGTCGTGATTGTAGTAATACTGTTGTTTATGTGGGAGTGGACTTGGCATATTTATGATTCTGGTTGAATTTTTGTTCTCATTTATTGATTTGTCTTAGGAGTAGGTGTGTACATTTCTAAATTTTAGATTTGAGACGTTGGTTAGCAGGGGGCATGCAAAGCAGTGAATGACATTAGATGTATTGTATGAAGTTGGTGTGGGGGTTACTTTAGGCTAAGTGTTTCATGGCGCAGGGATGCTCAAAGATTCACGATGAACACTATGAACCTTCCGAGCGAAGATGCAGCGAGATTGCAAATGCCGACGAACAAGCTAACGGAGTTCAACGTGCGGCGAGCACAACAGCAGGCTGGTCCAGCTGCATCAGGAGTGCCTGTGCTTGGGGGTTTGCCAAGTTCGAATGGGCTACCCATGATGACTAGCAGCACAAATGGGGGAATGCTTGCTGCACCGAACCGTGGTGGATTGTCCCTTCCAAGGCCGAGTTTGGGAGGCATGGGGCCACCATTGGTTTCAAACATGATCGCAACTGGTCCGAACAGCAGGCTTCTTCCGTCACCGAACTACGTGGCATCCAATATGTCGAGGAGAGTCGCCCAGTTGATGAATGCGGCACGGGTGAGGAACTTTCTGCAAAGCGTGTTTCTGCTGTACAGCGTGCCAAGCTTGGCGTCAGTGGAAGAGCAGAACAGTTTAGGAGAGATGTTAGTTTGCAGTCTGGATGTTGGTGGGAGGTTTAGTTGCGGTGCATTGATATTTAACTGAGGTCATGCTATGGCCATTTTAGTTGTAGTCTCGTTGTGCTCAGCTTGAGGTGGTGATGCGTTGGTCTTGGTATTTTGTGAACGTTCTTGAGTATGAGCGGTATTGAACGTGGAAGCGATCGTGGATTGTTGAGGTTTGTTTAGACGGGTATATGCAGGGAGATGTGAGTGGAGTAAGAGGGTGAGAAGCTTTAAATGATGAGATACAGAGATGATTTTACAGAATTGCCCGGAGGAGCAGCGGTCGCAGTATTTTCAACAGCTTCAGACATTAGCCAACCAGGGCGAAGCACAAGCTGTTTCTGCTTTATCGAGCCTGATGGGGGGCGGTGATATGATGAATGCAGCGGACGGGTCAAACCAGGTGATTGTGGTGTTCACCTATGTGTATGGGCTCGATTTGAACAATCGGATAGGATATATGTAAGCATTAGATCTCTATTGACGAGGAGTTTATTTTGTGGTGAAATTATGAAGTCGCATTATATGAATGTGCGGACGAACTTACGAATGCCCTGACTACAATTGTAGCAGCCATTTGCACAACACCAACATTCGCTTCAACATCAACAGCAAGAACAGCATCAACAGTTACAACAGCATCTTCATCACATGAACAACTCTTCGAGCAAATTGCAAGCGCAACTTCAGCAACACAATCAGCAGGTATAGGTATGCGCCGCATGTGCGGCTATGATGGATCAGTTTAGTATTGTTATTGAATACGGTGATGTGTGCGATCAATCGATTTATACGTGTGCTGGAGTGTTGCTGTACTGGTGCGATGTAGTATGGTCCATTGGATCTGGTCGCCTGCTTGATAGCCCTGTACAAGGTCGTGGTGTAAATTTATGTGTTCGATTCTTTGTATTTGAGTGCTAATGAATTGAATGTTGATCCTGTACCGCTGTGGTTTGCAGCTGCCAGGAACCCCACAGGGTTATATTTCTGTGCCCACTCGCATGAAAGAACAGCAATGGCAACAGCATCAACAGCAACACAAGCAAAGGCTACTTGGAGGTCTTCCTGCTAATTCTCAAGTCCAACATACGGTGGTTCCTCTTCAACCAGCGGTACCAATCTTCCCTCCTCAAAACTTGAATTCACAGTCTCACGTCCTCCTTCCACCCACACACAGTAGTTTACAGAAGCACTTAATGCAGCAAGTTAGCGGTCCATCCCAGGGTGCCCAAGTTGTGGGGTCGCTAAGCCTGCAGTCATCCCCAGCTTCTCCCAGTGGATCAGGGCAGCAGAATGAGCCTAGTGCACAGATGGCTCAAAGTGGCAAGTCCCCACAGACGAAACAGATACCGAAACAAGCGCAGCCGACACCTCAGCAAGCTGTGCAGCAGCAGGGTTTGAGGAATGGGAAAGGTGGAAATAGAGGGGCGATGTTGATGCATGGCGTCTCCCCACAGACGGGACCAGGGCAAGCAAGTACTTCTACTGGCAATGTGAATGGCCAATTGCAAAGTGAAGTAGGAGGGCAGCTGCAAGCAGGGCTAAGAGGTGTAGGTCAAGCTCAAAGCCAAGCCCCAAAGGCAGTGAGTGGACCCCAGGCCGGAAGCGTCCCAGGTGGTCCACAGGGTGGTCAAGGTGGTCAAGCACACGGAGTGCAATTAGCAAGTGTGTCGTCCGTTGTGGGCCAGCAGAAAGGGTCTCAGCAAGTCCAACAGGCTGCACAGGTATGCTCGAGGTTGCTATGGCGAGTTACTTAGCAGAGTGATTGTTTGTTACCTATGTGAGGGCACGGTGTGGCGAGTGCTTAGTGCTTGGACGTATGGCATCTTGGATTTTAACAAGGTACAGAATTGCTGATGTCAGGGAGTAATGAACAAACCACAACAGGGGAGTCCGTCGCTAACAGGCGGGCAGTCGAGTGGCCAGCAAGTTGGCTCAGGCGCTACATCAAGTCAGCAAGCAGTGTCGGCAGCTTCATCCGTCGCTGGAACTCAGCAGCCTCAGCAGTTGCACCGTCGTCAGGTTGCCCAGACGGCAGGCGCCTCTCGTAGGTGAGTGATGTTGGGGTTTGAGGATGGTGAATTTTATTATAGTAGGGCCGATTTGTCTGTTTGTTATCTTTGGATGTGTATGTTGAGTGTTTTAATATTTACTTACATATTTGAGAGTTAGTAATGTTTCTTGTGTTTAGTTATGTATTAAAATCAGGAAAGTTAAAATATGAACGATTTCAAGTACTGAGTTTTACAATGAAACGTTAAACACCAAAATACATAAATATATATTGAAAAATTCCCTTAGGGACATGGGTTTAATTGAACGCGAGAGTATATGGGGACGTAATTACCTCGAGCGACCCCGAGAAGGAGCTCCAGCGTACATTGAAGCAGCAAATGACGCTGTTAAATTGTTTGTTCCTCAAGCGTGGCTTGCTCTTTCGCATGTGAAAAGACAATTTGTGATGACTTTGAAACTAACTAGGTAGATCCGCTTCCAGTACTGATACTGATCCTAAGATAGTGTTACGAGTGTTCCACCATGAGTTATACTTGATTTGTCATTTTTGTGAAGTGTTGTTCGTGTACTGGTGGCATTCAAAGTCATTAGTAAATTTTGTTTGCAGAAGTGGTTGCTTAACTTGTAGGATTTATTATCTTGTGTACAGGTTGCCGGCGCGACATCCCGGTAGTAGCGTAGGTATGCCGGTGCCGGGTCAGCTTGGCAAGACGGGTGTGCAGCAAACTGGGCATGGCAGTCCCTCCCAAATGACGTCGCAGACGGATCCTAACTCATATCAGCCTGTTGGGTCGATTTCGGTGAGTGCCAGCAATCCGAATTTGCATGGCGTAGGCCTGACATCCGCTGTGAACTCGAGCACAGGTGAAGCACAGGGCACGCAATGGAAAGCCAATCAAGTATTACCTCATCTGCCCGGAGGAATGTACAATTTGACACGCACCAGCAGTCCAGGGTCTGGTCCAGTTCCGACAACGGCGAGTTCAGGCGTGCAGTCGAATGGTAACATTGGTATGTCATCACTGACTAGTTCAGGTATTCAAGACGTGGGTTTAGGAAACATGGCCCAGGGTGTGGGTGTTGTGCAAGGCGTACCAAACCATAAAGTAGGAGGGCTGGGGATGAACGGAAGGGGCCTTACAGGATCACAGGTAGGTGTTGTGGGTGGTCAAAGAAACCCGCTGAGCGGTCCAGTGGGCGGTTCTTCAGGCATAGGTGCCACGCCGAGCAGCCATGTAAGGCACCCGACCGGGTCTTCGTTGATGGCAAGCCCCACAACTTCAGGTTCAGTTGGTGTTTCACAAGGCGGAACAGCAATGGCATCATATTCAGGCGTGTCTGCAGCTTCTGGTTCGGCGGCGAATGGTGGGCAGGTTGGTGTTGACATCCCCGCATTAGAGTAAAATTGCAAGAAGGGCACTGCTAGTAACTCTGCGTTTAGTGTAATGTACATGAATGATTTTGTGATGCTGCACGTAGAGTGATAAATTGGAGCATGTGGCAATGCAGGCACGACAGGGGCATGGAGGCTATGTAGCTGCTTCGTCGTCGTCGTCTAGTTTGGAAGCCTCGTCTGAAGTGGCTGGCGCTTCAGGTGCAAGTGGTGCCACAAACTCCGGCAACAGGATTCCGGGTTTTGGAGCTGTTGAGGTCCCTCCATCTGGAGAGGCAGCGGCAGCGTCTTCCTGATGGTACTCGTTATTTGAAGGCTTTTTGTCATGTTCAAATTCAGTTTGTAGCATGATATTTAGAGTACCCAGCTTGTAAGCGGGTGCAGTGGTGAACCCGTTTGAGACAAGCCCGAACCTTGCAGATTCAGGATAGAGTTCGAGGACGGTGTAGAGGTGGGCTTTTGACTGGTTGATCACCATCCATATGTGGGGGGAGCTGGAGGAAACGAAGAGAATCCCAACTCTGCCATTGGTTAGCACTAGTTTGTACATTCTCCAGCCCAGGAGCATGGTTCGGCGCTTGTACTTTTGGGTGCAGTGCAATGTAGCGATAGCTTCTGCGAATTGACGCCATGTAACAAAATATCTTGTTTTAACATCGGAAGCTCCGATTTCTCTTCCAATTCTGGTGCTGCTCTGGTTGATTTGGATTGTGTCAGAATGTGACGACGCTGTGACCGCATCTTTCTTTGTTCTATTAAACTTACTGGCTTTCTAAATACTGCAATTTCTAAACGTGATTTTTTGGAAAATTCAATTTTCAAGCACTTCAAATCTTAGTAATTGATTCCAAAAATCATAATCCTTTGTTATAACCATATATTGAAACTAGGAATTCATCTTGAAGCAATTTTTGCTATGTCTGTTTGTTTGTTTGTTTATTTATTTATCTATCAATCCATCTAAGATTCGTTATCAGTGTTACATTTATATCAATAAATTATTTCCAGGTTACTAAATAGATTATCTACTGTTGACACCATTGAGGACTTAGTTAAATTATGCGTTTTATAAATTATATTCAAAACAAGACAAAGATCACTCTTGGTTCTTGATTAGGTCCTAATGAGGGAAATTTCATCAAAATGGACATTTTCCACCTAATTGTTTTTTTAACATGAGACAATTCTCTTCTAATTGCCCTTCTAGTTTAGAATAGCAGCAGGTAGGTATTAATTTTCAAATGCAAGGCTACTCCTCTTGTGCAACTCTAGCATGCACAAGAATTGAAGTCTTCTTTCATATCTTTTATTAGTATTCTATATTAGGATATTAGTGATATCTATTACTTAATATAGGACAAGTTTAATAATGTATTATGTTTGAAGGGCTTGTTTATGATGTACCTTATAAAAATGGATGTTAATGACATTAAAAAGTATATTTGATAAGTGTGTTGGGTGTGTTTTGTAAAAATGGATGTTGTATATCTATTTAAAGATATATTCTTACCAACAAAGCTTTTTAAGTTGTGGTTGTAACATTTAAAATTGATTTTTATCATTTAGTGTAAGGTAATTTTTAAAAGAGATGTGTAGAAATTACTTGTAATTAAGTCAAGTCCTTTGAAAATTGGTTTGGTCTCTAGTGCTTTTTACATCTAGCCTTAACAAGAGTTAAAATTTAAATAATATCATATTGTTTTTCTCACAATTACAATCCACATAATGAAATTTGTCTAAGCGCAAAAGTATGTTATTTTAAAGAAATTATTACTTTTCCATAAATAGAATTATTTTGACCACAAATATATATATATATATATATATATATATCTTATAACTTGACTTGCATTCTTCATACACTTTAGGTTAAGCTATTATTAAACTAAATAATCATGACATTCAAATCTAATTTTATAATTTGATAAGGTTGTCTTAGTTTTAATCTTAGATAAGAATTCTAAAATTTCTTTGTTTGTAAAATCTTTACCAGAAATCAATTTAGTTCCAAGCCATGAAATGCACACACTTAAAAAAGAAGTTTTGAACTAATGGATCAAAATAAATTCAAATAAATAAATAATTTTAGTATTATATAAAAAATAAAAATATTTTTTGGAGGTTCATTATGTTTTTATTTTTGGGTGACTTTTGGTGGTTGTTGCTAAAAACAAAATTCAACTTTTAGTTTAATGCAAAATTACATCCAACATTAAATGGTGATTTTTCTGCAAGAATTTTTATGCTGTTCAAAGTAAAAAAGAAAAAGAAAAAAGAAAAACTTCACCTGTAAACTAACATGTGGAAAATCAAGACAGAAGATGATTTATACAACTTTAAAAAATCTATTAAATTGGTTCTTTAAAAAAACTCCTTCAAAAAAAACAAAAAAAAAAAAAAAAAAAAAATTATCATATCCCAACACTATATATCATTTTCATAAAATTCAGTTTTTAATCCAAAAGGAAAATAAAAAGAAAAAAAGACAATTACAACAAGAAATAAAAACAAAACAATATGGATTGATTTGGGAAGAGGTTCACAATTAAGTCAAACGAAACAACACGGGCTCCTCCATATCCATCCACGAACTCACTAAACCACTGCCTAAACCACTCATTAATCCTATTCTGAATTATATGCTTGTCACGCTTAATGCCTCATCAAGCCCGTTGTTTCCGAAACCCTAATTCTTCTTCTTCTTCTTGCAAAACCAGCTTCGACAATTCTGGAGAACTGCACTCTCTTTCATTCATTCATTCATTCATCATCTGCACTGTGGCGACGACGTCGTTCGAAGAAGATAATTCACTGATTGACCGCCGCCGCCGCCGCCGATGTAGCCACTGCTGCTGTGAGTTGGGTTCGAGGAAGTGGCTATGCTCATCTGAATTTGCTTTGCAATGTAGCTGTGTGTGTTCACATTGGTGCTGTATGTGGATTTTTGGAGTTGTGGATGTCGCGCTTGTTGCCAGTGGGTGTTGCGGTGCGATGGAGGTTGAGATGGTGGCGAGGCTGAGGTTGAGATGGATGCTGCTGCAACAGCAGTTGTTGTTGGGGAGATCGATGTTGATCTTTGGCGATAGCCGCGACTGGTGATGGAGGTCTTCGGAGCGGGAGGGAACATCGCCGGGTTGGAAAGTGCGCTGGTTGCTTTGAGGGGGAAGTTGAGAAGGGCACGGGATTTGCGCATTCGCAGAGCCGCGTGGTCGTAAGCTGCGGCGGCCTCCTCCGCCGTGTCGAACGTGCCGAGCCACACGCGTGCGCCACGCTTCGCTGGATCCCGAATCTCGGCTGGGAACTTCCCCCACGGTCTCCGTCTCACGCCTCGGAAATGTTGCAACCCCGATGCGAGCGCGCATTCCTGCTGTTGTGAGTTGATGGACGCCGCCTCGTGCTCACTAGCTCGTGTGTATGGGGAATTTGGGTTGCCGACGACTTGGTGGATTTCGTAAACCGTGCTGGTGGCCATCTTTCCCCAGCCCTGAGTATCGTAGATTATGTCATTCGGTCTGAAGTCGTTAGTGTCGCTTAGGGGAGGACTTCGGTCGTGCTGGTTGACGTAGTCGTCATTCCGCGCAGGCAACACGTCCTCTGCGTAATCCTCCGGTGTCCATACATCATTCTCGGAATGGTACCCATTGCTCTCAGCTCCAATTGACAACACTTCCATCCCCGCATGCGGTAATTCCGTCCCAGGATTGTATTCTGATGCGGCTACTCTTGAGTATTCGTGGCCAGATTCAGCTTGACTTCCAGCGCTGCCGCCAGTGGAGCCCAGGGGACTGAAAAACGTGGCGCAACTAGTCAGTTTCGGAGAGGAGGATGGCGAAATGCCTGGGGCGTATCTGAACTGGGAGTTGTCGTTGATAAAATTGTTGGTGCTGAAATCTTCGTTACTGGAGGCGAGACCTTCGTCGTCGCGCCCTTGAAATTGGTACTCGTTCAAGCTCTCCAGCACTTGCATCCCTCGAATTACTGCCGCATCGCACTGCTCTCTCGTCATGAGCTCGGACAAGGCTTTCCAGCTGAACATTTTGGTCTGTTTCGGCTGCCCGTACCCTTGCCAAGTTTCCACTCCTTCCACAGCCTCGCAGATCACGCTCTCCATTTCCAATTCCTTGCTGAGTTTCTAGTCAAAACCTGAACTGCTCTTAATCGACTGACCACCTTCCATCTAATTCTGAATGCCGCTGAACCCTTCAACGAGGGAATAAGGCAACTGTGCTACATGCTGACTTTAGATGCCGACATGCCACCAGTGTGGCCCACGCATCGTATAGAAAAAACACTTTACAGTATGGTGATAATCTTCCACGACTTTGAGGTTTCGCGTGCGCTCACCCAGCTTCCAGGTTATGCAGCAATTCACTGCTCCCTAATGCCTTATGCAACGCATTGGATGGACGTGCCGCTGTGTAAAACACAAACTACAATTAAACCTACACACACGAATAAAAACAAATAAACAACCACTGCACCAGCGTCGTCGAATCTCTACAGTGATCCGCACGCGGAGGCTGGAAGTGCATAACAGTGAGTAGCAGCTCCATGCTGCGAGCTTTATTGCAAACACAGCATCATTGCATACTCGTGCTCCATGCGGCGCATCTGATCGCAGGACTTGGTGAATCGTATACTAGTTTTGAAGTAGTCTTCACTGCACTTGGAGATTCAAAGTGATAGTTTCATGGGTTTAAGGTGTGATGTCACGCCCCGAATCCCCCTGTACCTTTGTAGGTGGTGTCTGGGTTGAAACACACACTCCCTGGTTGAAATATGGGCTCTTTCCACAAAGTCTACTCCTTGCCTACCCACCCAGTTTGCCCACTGGTTGCAAACCTGTGCACAACCCTGGGTTATATCATGAAGAGGGGCAGAAATGACCCTTTTAATGGGATGTTTTTAGTGGATAATTGTCTTTGACAATACAACAATATAATAATTTGATGTTTGTTAATACTACACTCCTCTCTGGTTGATGTCCACGGAGATGTTTGTCAAATACAACAACACTCCCCATGGTGTGACAACATGAATTGTCCTATCAGCCACAGGTTTGAAGGAAAAAATATGAAAGAAATAATAAATCTCAACGCATGTGAAGAATAGTGACTTTTGTGAAGAAGTTTTTTAAAAAAAGACAAAAAAATAAATAAATTGCAGGTTATTTTATTCTGCTATTTGATTCCCCCAGAATGTCCAAAAAAAAGAAACTATTGTCTTTTTGACTACTAATTGAATGTACTCATGTTTGGAATTGTGGCTCTATTTGCAAAAGTACCACTGCAAATGGGTTAAAAAAGCTGGGTTGATGTGATAGCCATGTTTTGTTCAACGTGCATTAGTGGCTAGCAGTGCTATGACTTGGCTAGCAGTACTTTCAAATTAAAACTCTGAAGGGTGGAGAATGTTTGGTGTTTTACTTGAATATTGTTACAAAGTGTGAATAATCGCTGTTTTATCCTCTCACTTACACATGATATTACTGCATAAAACTTGCATCCATTTCATATAATACTTTCTAACATGAATAAGATTTAGTTATTTATTATTTATCTATACATTTACGAGAATGATATTATGATATTATCTGAACTTTGATACTTTATATTTTATTTATAGAAAAATAATTAATATTCATTATTTCATATAATGAATATGAACAATGGAGGGCCAAACCAATTACACAATGTTAAAGAAGCTTCCAACACAAGTTATATGTCTTTGATTTTGTGCATGTTAGATGCTTAGCTAAAATGAGCTTCTATAATCCAATAAATTATTATAATTATTAAAATATATGTATATATGCATATATATATATATATATATGCACACATATATTTGTAATTAGTCCTAAAGACAAATAATATAATATTTCAAAGTATTTTTATAATTAATTTTTGATTAAAATTTAGAAATAATATCTATAAAAAGTATTTAAGTTTTAAACATATAAATAGAAATTCAATCCTTATATATATTTTTAATTATATATATATATATATATATATATATATATATATTAGAATAATATTTTTTAATCTCAATTCAAAGATGTGAGGTTTTTCAATTTATTTGGCGATGATGTTAAGCTTGAGCACCTTCTTATATCAAACGTAGTCAAAGATATGAGGTTGCCTAATTCAATTTGTAATAATGTCAAGCTTTAGCATCCTCTTAGTTTAAAGGTATTCAAAGATGTGAGGTTTTTCAATTCATTTAGTAATGTCATAGACATATACATTTATCCCAATAGTTACTTATATGATTAGGTAGAAGTATATAAATATAGATTAATTTTGTAAAGTCTTCTAGAAAAGCTTTCTAGAAGCTTCATAGATGCAGTTTTGATTTTAGATGTGGTTAGAGGATAGAAACTTGGCCAACAAGTTAACCACATGTTGATAGCTTGTGGAATAAGTTAACTATGTGGCACATACATAGATAACTTGCCTTGCAAGTTAAGACATGTGGCTAGCAAAGTGAACACATGTTGGAGGTCCTATAGAATATCGCCACATAGCTCTTAGTTAGACAATATATATGGAGGCGAGAATGAAGCCTTCTTCACTCTTGTTAATGCTTTTCAAATCCTTAGTCTTGTTTCAAGACTTTATAGTTTTTTTGTTTTGAACAATAGCTATTCTAGTTTAATATTACATCACCTTATGAGTGACTTTCTAGTTTTCTTCAGTGACACAAGAATATATTGAAGATTTTCTTTCTTCAAGGTTCATGTCCTTGATAGTTTGACAAGAGTGCTAACATATTGTTTCTGTCTTGTTTTAGAAGTGAGTGAATTACTCCACTTCTATTGTTGTGTTTTGAAGGTTGTAGACTATCCACATTTAAACAAAAAATCTTGTTTTCTAATACTAATCTTTTCCTTAAAGAGAATAGATTATCTCTCTTTGTAGAAATTTTTATTAGAGGTTATGGATTACCTTCCTCTAATTTAATTTTTTGGATTTGTTTGAATTGTCTATGGAAGGAAAGATTATGGATGCTACTCCTAGTAGAAGTAAGAATAGATTTGCAACTATTGCAGATCTTTATGAGCTTGTTAACATTCTAAGAGTGGAAATCTCATATATTTCTAATGTGAACTATGGAAGAACTATGCCTACGCCTATGGTAAAAGTTCAAAGTCTAATGGAAAAAGTTGTGCAGTTGAAGAAAGCAAGTAGATCAACCTCACAACCAAATCTAGGGAGTTTTACTTCTATGAGTATGACGGAGACAATGATTACTATGCTTGAGAAGTTTGATGGAACAAGATCAAAATTTTGAGGATTTTTGCAACAAGTCAAGTTCTATCTAAGATTGCATCCTTTCTAATACCCTAATGGATTTACTCAAGTTGGATTTATAAGCACACTTCTATCAAAAAGTGCTCTCTCTTGATTTGGACCTTTAATGAAAAAAGATATGTAACTTTTTTATGATTTGAATTCATTCCTAGAAGTGTTTATGATTACATTTGAAAAAAGTGATTGAAAAAGAGTAGGAGAGACCAAACTCTTATCTTTACAGCAAGGATCTCAGTCAGCCACCATATATGCTATTGAATTCCAAAACCTCACTTGTGACGTAGACTGGAATGACAAAGCTCTTATCAATCAATTTGAATATGGATTGAAGGATAATGTCAAAGACTTGTTACTGACAATGCCAAAGATAGAATCTTTAGAACAATATATTACCCAAGCCATTGCAATATGACAATCAATTATTTGATTGTCATATTGAAATAATTGATTTTCATATTACTCAAGCTATTACAATATGAAAATCAATTATTTGACCAAAAAGTCACAAAGTCTTAGCCTTATTGGATTCAAGAGCATCACCTTGTTTTATATATGAAGACTTTGTTAAAAAACAAGATATATCTTTAGCCAAGAAAATTAAACCTGTACATGTAGAACTTATAGATGGTCATTTGTTGTCTTCTGGAAATGTTATCTATGAGATTGTTCCTTTAGATATAGCAATTAAAGATCATAACAATGTAGTAGTATTTAATGTAATAAGATTTCTCTCCAATCCGATTATTTTAGGATTATCATGGCTAAAAAAATATAACCCTCAAATAGATTGGATTTCTTGTAACTTTAACTTTTTTGGTAATATCATCCAAGATTGTATTAGTAAAATAGAAGTATATAAGTCTAATACATCCAAAACTTTACTAGCAAGTGCGAGAGCTTTCATGCATGCTATAAAAGAAGGATCATCTTTTGCTATATATGCTATGTCCATTTTTAATAGTGAAAAAATGTCAAGTGGTATTCCTAATCAATATCAAGATTTTCAAGATGCTTTTGAAAAGAAGAATGCAGATATTCTTCCAAAGCATCGACCTTATGATTATTCAATTGATTTCCAAGAAGGAGCTCAATTACCATTAATACCAATCTATAGCTTATCGCATCATAAGTTGGCTGCATTAAAAAAGTATATTGATGAGAACTTAGCAAAGAACTTTATATGCCATTCTAAATCTCTATTAGGGGCTTCTATCTTATTTGTGAAGAAAAAATATGGATCTCTGTGGTTGTGTGAGGATTATCGATGACTCAATAAGATCACCATCAAAAACATGTATTCTTTGTTTTTGATTTCAGGACTTCTTTATCAACTCAATCAAGCAAAGATCTATACCAAAATAGATCTACAAGAAGCATACAATTTAGTTCGTATTAAAGAAGAAGATAAATGGAAGACTATTTTTTGAACTAAATATGGATATTTTGAATAAAATGTCATACTTTTTGGACTCACAGATGCATCGAGAGCTTTTCAATATCTTATGAATGATATTTTTCATGAATTTTTAGATGATTTTGTTGTTTGCTATTTAGACAATATTCTAATCTATTCTAAAAACATAGAAGAACATGAACTTCATGTTTGTCGTGAGTTATAGAAACTTAAAGATATAGGATTATATGTCAAGTTGAAAAAGTAAGTATTCCACACTATTTAAGTTGACTTTTTAGGATACATTATTTCTAACAAAGACCTTATGATGGATCCCAAGAAGGTCCAAACTATCATAGATTGGAAGATTCTAAGAACGGTATGAGATGTGCAATGCTTTTTGGGCTTTGCTAATTACTAAAAAATCTTCATCAAGAACTTTTTTCAAGTTGTAGCTCCACTTATACATTTGACTTGTAAAGACAAATTTCAATGGAATAAAGAAATTGAAGCATCATTTGATGCTTTAAAGAAGGACTTTACTTTTGCACCAATCTTGTATTGCGTTGACTTTTTCAAGGTATATTTTATGGAATTAGACGTGTCACGCTTTGCTATGGATGATGTATTTTCACAAATGGAAACAGATGACAAACTACACCTAATAGCTTTCCATTCCAAGAATTTTTTAGCAGCCAGGATTAATTATGAGATCCATGACAAAGAACTCCTTGGAATTGTAGATTCATTTCAAGAATGACAT